ATGTCATCCCCTGGCCGGCTCGCTCCCCTGATCTCTCACCAATCAAGCACATGTGGGATGAGATGGATCGGCGCCTTCGACGTCAACCACGTGTTCCACAGACACTCCAGGAACTTTGAAACATGCTCCAGCAGATATGGACAGATATCCCACAGGACTTTGTGCGACGCCTGGTCCATTCCATGAGACGAAGATGTGTTGCTTACATTGCAACCAGGGGTGGACACCCACGCTATTGATTAATTTTGTAAATTGACATATTGGCATGTTCACGTTTTTTTTTATGAAATCACGCATTTTCCGGAGTCAGTACGGCAAATGAAACCATTTGAACACTTACAGGAGTCTTTTATCTGTTGCAAACCGAAATTGTTTCAGATTTGGTAAAAAACATAACTTTGCATTAAATCTTATTCAGTGTCACAGGAACTTTTGTTGTTCAGTATATTATTATAACGGAGTCACATGCGCATATTTCTGTAGTCCGTTTCAGACTGCCATCATTTGACTTAGAATAAATGTAAACTTATGTCGATCGGTAGTTACTCGATATTTCAATAACAACAGTGTGAAAATTATATATAGCATAATAAATAGTAGTAGTAGTAGCAGTAGTCACAGGCGCATATTTCTGTAGTTCGTTTCAGACCTCCCTCACTGGAGTAAAAAACTTGCTGTTTTGAATACATGACACTTTTTTATGGCTAGCAACTTAAAAAGTGTCATGCATTCATGTTCTTCCAACTTCTTAATGCCTATCATAGATTTGCTGCTTTGGTTCGAATGTTTCTCCTGTAAAAGTATTGATAGGACTCCTTGTGACTGTAATACCTCAAGTCACCGGTTGGTAGGTAGGTGGGTGGGTAGGTAGGTAGGTAGTTATATACTTACTCGAAATTAATAGCAACAGTCTGTAGAGTACTTCCGTCTTGTTTTAAAGGGCAGAGACATTTTTCTAGCATTTTCGACAGTGCTTTTTTTCATTTAGCAACGCAGTTGTGAAAAATATCAAAAACACCATCTTCCCGCATGATTTTAAAGACGCTTCGATCATATCCCTCATCTGAGACAAACACGACGAGTGAGAAAGTTGAGTTTAACCCCTGACTGAACAGTTATTGCTGTTATAGCGAGGCAAGGCAAGTCACTGTGGGCTAGATGTCCAACTGATAATGACACAGGTCGCAGACTGGTCCAACTGTTGTGAAAGCCGACAGAACTTGGATCATACTCGTTGCGAGTCCAAGATTCGACTCCACAGTAATACAGCTTCGTTGCTCGGCGAAGAGCCACGCGTGCATGGACATTGATCACCACCTTCTCCCATACTGAAGGAATCAACCCGGCCCGTAACCCACCTCATCGTCACGATCAAATATTCGTATATTATGAGTCGTCTCCACAGGGCCTTGTGTCGTTGCTTAAAGAAAATTTACTGTAAACTATAAATATGGGATTAAATCATTTATATAGCATATTAAAACAAGTATCTTGAAGGGGAAAATGTGAAGGTAATATTTGTGACAAAAAACGTTAAAACCTACTTGTATTCCGGAAACAGCCGAGAGTTAATGAGCAGAGCTGTCATCACGTGCGTCATAGCGGAGAGTCGACTTGCAGACGACCACTGTTCCTGTTTCTCTATTGTTTTATATAAAGGAGGTGTATATAATGTTCTGGTGGCGAGTATTGTCGTGTGTAAGTCTAGTTTATTAACCCCGGTTTGGTACGCGGGATTCAGGGGTCAATTAGAGGGTATTCAGTACTCAGCGGTGTGGTACGCGGGATTCAGGTGTCAATTAGAGGGTATTCAGTACTCAGCGGTGTGGTACGCGGGATTCAGGGGTCAACTAGAGGGTATCGGTACTCAGCGGTGTGGTACGCGGGATTCAGGGGTCAACTAGAGGGTATTCGGTACTCAGCGGTGTGGTACGCGGGATTCAGGGGTCAACTAGAGGGTATTCAGTACTCAGCGGTGTGGTACGCGGGATTCAGGGGTCAACTAGAGGGTATTCGGTACTCAGCGGTGTGGTACGCGGGATTCAGGGGTCAACTAGAGGGTATTCGGTACTCAGCGGTGTGGTACCCGGGATTCAGGGGTCAACTAGAGGGTATTCGGTACTCAGCGGTGTGGTACGCGGGATTCAGGGGTCAGCTAGAGGGTATTCGGTACTCAGCGGTGTGGTACGCGGGATTCAGGGGTCAACTAGAGGGTATTCGGTACTCAGCGGTGTGGTACGCGGGATTCAGGGGTCAGCTAGAGGGTATTCGGTACTCAGCGGTGTGGTACGCGGGATTCAGGGGTCAGCTAGAGGGTATTCGGTACTCAGCGGTGATGTACGCGGGATTCAGGGGTCAACTAGAGGGTATTCGGTACTCAGCGGTGTGGTACGCGGGATTCAGGGGTCAGCTAGAGGGTATTCGGTACTCAGCGGTGTGGTACGCGGGATTCAGGGGTCAGCTAGAGGGTATTCGGTACTCAGCGGTGTGGTACGCGGGATTCAGGGGTCAGCTAGAGGGTATTCGGTACTCAGCGGTGTGGTACGCGGGATTCAGGGGTCAATTAGAGGGTATTCGGTACTCAGCGGTGTGGTCCGCGGAATTTAGGGGTCAATTAGAGGGTATTCGGTACTCAGCGGTGTGGTACGCGGGATTCAGGGGTCAACTAGAGGGTATTCGGTACTCAGCGGTGTGGTACGCGGGATTCAGGGGTCAATTAGAGGGTATTCAGTACTCAGCCGTGTGGTACGCGGATTCAACATTTAAAGTTTCCTTTGCATATTTTCTTCTTTCGATATTTTCTTCAGTAAATTAACTTGAAATCGCATCCTTTTCTCAATGAGATTTGTGGCGAGTAGTATTCTGGTTTCAGGGGTGAGCAAATGAGACTCGGACAAGACATTCATACATTTTGCACATCGGTTTTTCGATTCATACCTCAATGAACCGAAAACATCCATAGCCAGCCCTTTAATGCTAAATTTATTTTCATAACTAAGTTCGTTTAGTTTGTGTCGATCTCTCTCATAGGCAGAAGCCTCAAAATCCAAGAAACGCAAAGTCGGTTTCTAGTCATTTTCCTCCACGCTGACATCGCTTTATCCAAATTTTCCTCCTGCTGAATCGGCCTTTACGCTGCTGGGAAATTTGAAATGGCACTTGGTATCTTTGTTTGATGAACTAGTACACCCCGATGCCAACACAATACGCCGAGAATAACAGAAAATCACTTTATTGGCATGTTGATTAATGCACTGAAAACGTCTCTCCACAATGACGTCACAGCTACAGCTCGACCTACGCTGGTTGTGGGCAGGGCAGTTGTTTGTCGCTTTTTATCATTTAACTAAATCATTTATCCATGACATAAACTTATGACATAAAAACATGTATGTCATACCCCAATGACATAAGTATGCAAATTAGATATGCAAATTAGATAACCGGAAGTGGGACTTTTTTCGCCGGTGCACGTGAGTAGGTGTTTACAAACAACATGGATACCTTTGATGTTGGAGACATTATTTCAATTATTCTGCAAAAGTCTGTTTAAGTATTTTGTTTAAAATAATCCGATAATTTTCTCAGCGAAGGAATATGTCATAAAGGAGTTAAGAGGTTGTTTATTTTGGTTTACACGGCTATGGAAAACATGTATCACTACGCACGATCTATACGTAAGATTTCGACAAGTTGCTGATGTTAATGTTTAATGCAATTATTCCTTAATTGGGAAGCAAAAATGTGAAAATGATAAATAGAATTCATCACGAGTGTTTTTTAATATGGGAAATATCAACCTCGTCCCGTTAATCGGTATTTGCCTCGCCAAAGGCTCGGCAAATACCGATTAACTAAGACTCGGTTGATATTTCCCATATTAAAAAACACTCGTGATGAATCCTCTATTTAGATAACAATAAAATGACATATGACTCTATATTTGGTATGAACGTAGCAGGGCAGTGAATGAACAATATACAAACACACGCTACGGGCGAGGGACGTATTATTTCGCCAATGAAAGTTTCATATATTTATCTAAGTGTAAAGTGATTATAAATCTCTTTCAAAATACATTCATATACATGAATTTACGGGTGTGACATTCTTATGTGTTACACAAATATAAAACAGACCCTACAAGTAATCACGTGCCTATACCCTATGGGTGAGACTGGGGTGTCTTCCCGGCCACTGTGGCGCAACTTAATATTCCGGATATCTGAGTTAGAAGGTTTTACTTGGCAACATGTCTGTGTAGAGAATGTGTGCAGACTATGTACATGCAGTGAGACAAAGGGTCAACTTTAGAGGGTTCGCTTGGCTAATCAGTCGAGCACGTCATGGCTTGGGTTTTAGGCTCACAACATGAAAGACACATGAAGTACATTTAATCTATATTAACCACTAATAATACATAAAAGTTGAACAGTCAAAAGCAGACAAGATGGATGAATATGTACAACGGTTGTATCTGTCACATAAATATGAACTTTCTAAGACTATTTAAAATGTTTTAAAAGTTGTTTTTTCAATAGATCTATAAATATTTCTAGATCCTCTTGTTTCAGCTCTGTTGCGCACATAAAATCCTCAAGTCCCAAATGTGTGGCCATTTTCACCCAACAATTAAGGCTATTTGCTCAAAACTGTCTTGGGCAGTTTTTGCATTGGGCCATTTTCTCTATAACGCGTGTGGCAAAGCTAAATAATCTAAATTTAAATTGATAAATTGTGCTTTGGTATTTTGGTATTTTTCATAAAATTATCACTACGATTTTTGATGTTTTAGAGAATGAGCTACATTTGTATACCAAAAGCTTTTTAAGGTTCACCTATTTTGAATTAGAATAAGGTATTCGGTAGTAGCCCACGTAATTCCTGTGAAACTTGGCGAGCGTTTGTCATTGTGAACATGTTTTTGTCTCATTGGGGCCAAGGTGTTTCTAGCTACGACGGCCGATTTGACACCTAATAAAACTGGGAGCAAGTCGAGACCTAGGTTTTCCTGACCAATCGCAGGCTTCGTTTCATTTCGTGATGACAAGAGGCAACAAAATGGCGGACGTAGATAAGTGGATTGAGGTTGCGAAACAGTGCAAATATTTACCAGAAAATGATTTGAAGGTACGATGTGGCAGTGATGAGTGTGTGGGTGTCAACGTCAAGTTGGAATAGATAGATTTTTGTATAAAGGCACACATTTTGTTAAAACGGTCTCTGAAAATTAAGTGTCCTATTTTCGATCACTTCCCTAATTTTGCTATGTTAAAATTACGTAGGTCTGAAATGTTATCAGTATTTACATGGTTAGCATTGCAAAACGCCAAGATCAAGTATTTTACGTATTTAATCAACGTTTATGCAATATTTGTCAGGTCACAGTTCTCTATTGATATGTGAGAAAAACAGGTGGCATTCACCACAGTGAGTTGTTTACTAACATGATAAAGTCTAAAGGTATTTTTGTGCGGTAAAATGTGTTAGCATGGTTAAATTAGGCCTAATGTCATACAGATTTCATACACAAAACTTTAAGAATTTTGATAGACTTTATCAAACTTTGATACTGACCATGTCTTGGCAGTATGTTCAATGAAATCTGTGAAAAGAAATACCTTTACCCAGATATGATTTTTCGCATTTCTAAGAATCTAAATCGTCATTTTCCTTCTGATTCTGAAATCATTTTAAATGTAGTCTCAAGTATCAAAACGTGAGAACAATTCCGATAGGGGCAAATTCTGATATATGAAGTCTTTCCTCATTGAGGGTGGTCGGGTAGCCTAGTGGTTAAAGCGTTGGCTCGTCACGCCGAAGACCCGGGTTCGATTCCCGACATGGGTACAATGTGTGAAGCCCATTTCTGGTGTCCCCCGCCGTGATATTGCTCGAATATTGCTAAAAGCGGCGTAAAACCATACTCACTCACTCACTCACTCACTCACTCACTTTCCTCATTGCTGACAACATGGACACTTAATACGACTATATTTAGGGTCCATGCTGACAACAAGAGTAGTAAGGCATTTGATCATGTTGATTGAAAACTCATCCTGGTTCAAACTTTCTGAGTAACTTTTCCTCACTTACATGGAAATATTAGCCTTTTTCATGCATTTTCCCTCAGCTCTGTATTTAATGTTGCAAAAAGTCAATATTAAAGTCCTGTTGGAAATGCTAGAAAACTGCTTTTTGTCTGTTAAAAAAGGATATAATTTTCCACACTGTTGTTATTGAAATATCGAGTAACTACCAATCGACCTACCTGTGGTTTGAAGTATTTCAGTCACAATGAGACCTATTGACAAGTTTACAGGAGACAAATTCGAATGAAAACAGGAAGTTTACATTTATTCTAAGTCCAGTGATGGCTGTCTGAAACGGACTATTTATTTTGTTAACATTGCTCCGATGATGCATGTTACATTACACTTGCATAGCCATAACCATGGTACACGATATGGCGTCTGTACTGGGAAATGCATACAAGTTCTTTACACTTTAGAGAGATAGAGGGAAAACGTTTAGTTTATTTAGATAGGGGGAATTATTGAACTGCCCAAGCTGTTGGGTTTTCAATTCATACCATCAAGTCTACGGTATGATAAATAAAACAAAACAGGTATAGTGGTGGTCTCAAAAACAAAACTGGGATGTAAAAGGATATTAGACAGCTTTGATACAGGGTGATTAGGCATTTAGTGTAAAGCTTTATGAGCAGAAGATAACCCTGACTTGTACTGTTGTAGTAGAATTTGTGAGGAATTAAAGATACAATTAATGTTAACTGCACTAACTATTGCTCTCCAAGAGATGGGATTTCGATACACTGCGCTTGGCGATGACCAAGCACTTTCAGGGGAAAATATTCCATCCTGTCTGAGGTCACATTATCTCCGAACCATTCATAACTATCAGTCAGGGCGTCCAGATATTTTACCTTGATGAATCATTCTACTGACTACATGTGGCTATCGGCAGATGGACTAAAAGCACCCATGGTACCATCAAGCATTGAATATATAAAAATAAATGTAGTTTTTTCTTCTTGCTGTGTCTGCTAACAACATTTTAGATCTAACTTCAGCCTTTATTAATAATAAACCCTTTAACTTTTCATTCCAAAAATAATTTTTTGAGTTTGTTCTTCACCTACCATACCCAACATGCCAAATTGACAATCAGTTAAGATAATTTTAGAAATATTGTTTTATGTTTTCATTTCATGCACCTACACCACATGTACTAAGTTACCCAATTAACATAGATATAATTATTGTTTATGATTTGTTATAAATAACATCTAAAATGAAAAATAACATGCAGGTTCTTGCCTTGCCATGTTGATACCTTTAATTAAGAAGGACTTCAGAAACACAGAAAAATTAAAGTTAAAGTTATCAGATTATACTCTAATCACCTGGAGTACAGTACAAAAAGATGCGAGTCAAAATTCTGTTTCTATAGAAGATTGGTTTGTTTGTTGTTAAACACCTCACTCGGTAATATTCCAACTGTATGACATTGGTTTGTAAATAATCAAGTTTGGACCAGCCAGTCCAGTGATTGACATCATGAGCATCGATCTACCCAATTTGGGTACGAAGACATGCATCAACCAAGTCAGCAAGCCTGACCACAAGATCTCGTTAGTCGCCTCTTATGATAAGTATAGTTGCCTCTTACGGCAAGAAGGGGTTGCTAAAGGCCTTTTCTCTACCTGGATCTTCAAGGGTCTTCTATAGAAGAAGAAGAAGAAGAAAAATTTATAAGTGTCTCACATGTAATGATGTATGTTGAACAATAGACAAGAATGACACATGAAAATGTATATACAAACACTCACACTCGCACAGGGGTGGTGGGGTAGCCTAGTGGTTTAAGCGTTCGCTAGTCACACCGAAGACCCAGGTTTGATTCCTGACATGGGAACAAAGTGTGAAGCCCATTTCTGGTGGCCACCGCAGTGATATTGCTGGAATATTGCTAAAAGTGGAGTAAAACCATACTCACTCACTCACACTCACACTCACACTCACACTCACACACTGATTCACACAAAGACACAGATGGGTACACCACATACATCATGTACATGTATACAGGAATTAAGGTGTGTGTGTACTACTGGTAGTACACTTCGTGTATGGATTGTCTATTTTGTTTGAATTGATTAACTTGAGAAGTGAAATATGTGTTGTGTATTTTCAGAAACTGTGTGACATGGTGTGTGAGTTGCTGCTGGAGGAGTCGAATGTCCAGCCAGTGTCCACTCCAGTCACTGTGTGCGGAGACATTCATGGCCAGGTGAGTTGCTGCATGAAAACCTATCACAGGTTTTACACCCAAGGGTCTCCAGGCTAGAATAGGTCCCCAACAACCTTCACTGGTCTCCGCATAGGGATTTCCAGGTTAGGATAGGTCTCCAACATCCTGCGCTGGTCTCCCCATAGGGATTTCCAGGCTAGAATAGGTCCCCAACAACCTACGCTGGTCTCCCCATAGGGATTTCCAGGTTAGGATAGGTCCCCAACAACCTACGGTGGTCTCCCCATAGGGATTTCCAGGTTAGAATAGGTCCCCAACAACCTACGCTGGTCTCCCCATAGGGATTTCCAGGTTAGAATAGGTCCCCAACAACCTACGCTGGTCTCCCCATAGGGATTTCCAGGTTAGAATAGGTCCCCAACAACCTGCGGTGGTCTCCCCATAGGGATTTCCAGGTTAGAATAGGTCCCCAACAACCTACGCTGGTCTCCCCATAGGGATTTCCAGGTTAGAATAGGTCCCCAACAACCTACGCTGGTCTCCCCATAGGGATTTCCAGGTTAGAATAGGTCCCCAACAACCTGCGGTGGTCTCTCCATAGGGATTTCCAGGTTAGAATAGGTCCCCAACATCCTGCGCTGGTCTCCCCATAGGGATTTCCAGGTTAGAATAGGTCCCCAATATCCTGCGCTGGTCTCCCCATAGGGATTTCCAGGCTAGAATAGGTCCCCAACAACCTGTGCTGGTCTCCCCACAGGGATTTCCAGGTTAGAATAGGTCTCCAACATCCTGCGCTGGTCTCCCCATAGGGATTTCCAGGTTAGAATAGGTCCCCAATATCCTGCGCTGGTCTCCCCATAGGGATTTCCAGGTTAGAATAGGTCCCCAACATCCTGCGCTGGTCTCCCCATAGGGATTTCCAGGTTGGAATAGGTCCCCAACAACCTATGCTGGTCTCCCAATAGGGATTTCCAGGTTAGAATAGGTCTCCAACATCCTGCGCTGGTCTCCCCATAGGGATTTCCAGGTTAGAATAGGTCCCCAACATCCTGTGCTGGTCTCCCCATAGGGATTTCCAGGTTAGAATAGGTCCCCAATATCCTGTGCTGGTCTCCGCATAGGGATTTCCAGGTTAGAATAGGTCCCCAATATCCTGCGCTGGTCTCCGCATAGGGATTTCCAGGTTAGAATAGGTCCCCAATATCCTGCGCTGGTCTCCCCATAGGGATTTCCAGGTTAGAATAGGTCCCCAATATCCTGCGCTGGTCTCCGCATAGGGATTTCCAGGTTAGAATAGGTCCCCAATATCCTGCGCTGGTCTCCCCGTAGGGATTTCCAGGTTAGAATAGGTCCCAAACATCCTACGTTGGTCTCCGCATAGGGATTTCCAGGTTAGAATAGGTCCCCAACATCCTACGTTGGTCTCCCCATAGGGATTTCCAGGTTAGAATAGGTCCCCAACAACCTATGCTGGTCTCCCAATAGGGATTTCCAGGTTAGAATAGGTCTCCAACATCCTGCGCTGGTCTCCGCATAGGGAGTTCCAGGTTAGAATAGGTCCCAAACATCCTACGTTGGTCTCCCCATAGGGATTTCCAGGTTAGAATAGGTCCCCAACATCCTACGTTGGTCTCCGCATAGGGATTTCCAGGTTAGAATAGGTCCCCAACATCCTACGTTGGTCTCCCCATAGGGATTTCCAGGTTAGAATAGGTCCCCAACAACCTATGCTGGTCTCCCAATAGGGATTTCCAGGTTAGAATAGGTCTCCAACATCCTGCGCTGGTCTCCGCATAGGGAGTTCCAGGTTAGAATAGGTCCCCAACATCCTACGTTGGTCTCCCCATAGGGATTTCCAGGTTAGAATAGGTCCCCAACAACCTGTGCTGGTCTCCCCATAGGGATTTCCAGGTTAGAATAGGTCCCCAACAACCTATGCTGGTCTCCCCATAGGGATTTCCAGGCTAGAATAGGTCCCCAACAACCTGTGCTGGTCTCCCCATAGGGATTTCCAGGTTAGAATAGGTCCCCAACAACCTGTGCTGGTCTCTCCATAGGGATTTCCAGGTTAGAATAGGTCCCCAACATCCTGTGCTGGTCTCCCCATAGGGATTTCCAGGTTAGAATAGGTCCCCAACAACCTATGCTGGTCTCCCCATAGGGATTTCCAGTTTCGAAAAGGTTCCCAACATCCTACACTGGTCATTAGAGGCAACCAAATGGATCAAATGGTCAGGCATAGTGACTTGGTTGATAGCCAATCATTGCACTTTGAAGGTGTGGATTGTAGTTCACAAAATTGATCACTGCATTGTCTGGCCCAGAATGAAGCAGAATAAAACATAAAAAATAACATGTTTTATTGGACTGCAACAATCCTAGCATAATTAGGGTACAGAAGATCTTGTATGAGAATGCCAATGACAGAATTCGTAATGTTGAAATCATGTGGATAATATTGTTAAATAACTTCCAGGTGCCGGTTTCCGGTAAAATGGGTATAGCCATTTGATCATAGGTTAAGGCAATTGCTCATCACGACAATGGCCAAGGCTTGATAGAGAGGGCACAACCGTGTATTGCTCATCACGACAATGGCCCAGGTTTGATAAAGAGGGCACAACCGTGTATTGCTCATCACGACATTTGCCCAGGTTTGATAGAGAGGGCACAACGGTGTATTGCTCATCACGACAATGGCCCAGGTTTGATAAAGAGGGCACATCCGTGTAGAGCAGTGTAAAGTTAGTCTCACTCATCATGCTCATCCTCAGAAATCCTATTCTTGAAGTACTTGTGTCAGTGCTAAGCATGGGATCAATTAATTTCAGAAATTCACAGAAGAAATGAAGATAAACATGTAGAATGTGAACTTGACATGTTTACTGCAAAGTGTGAATCAAAAGTAACGTGGCCATTCAGAAGTGAAAAGTTTGACTCTTACTGAACGGGAGGGGGGGAGCACACTGCAAAGTTTCTAAATTCCAACTGCTTGTTTTCATGCTGATCTACAAGAAATGAAATTCACCGAGTTCGAAGATTAAACAAGAGTGTTTTTGGTGGCATTAATTCCAACTGCACAACAAAACACCTTTATGTCGGAACTGTGTCACTCTTTAGAGGAGTATATTTCTGCTGCTGTATACAGTTTGCAGTAGTTTCTGGCAAGCTTCATCACTTTGACTGTGATTCTCTGTGAAGCACGACTATTTGGTAGGACTACTGTATGCAGAGTTTCAGATCAGTTCATTTTGTAGGACATAGACTTATGTACCTTGACATCAGTACCTTGTGTAAGACTGATTTGCTTCCAATATTGCTAGATTAGCATGATTAGTGCAAGCTTATGACATGATGTATGACTGAACAGGAACTTAGAAACCAAGTTGATGACTGGTTGTGATGGACATGTTGAATGCATAGCGCATTATCTTGATTATCACCTCTGTGTGCATGTCAGTTTATTGTTACTGACTGTGTATACAGGATATAACTCTTTATCATATAATGGGTAGGTTTCTCGGCAGGATAAAGCCAACGGATAAAAACGATATCCGTTGGGGTCATATGCGGATAGAGATGCAAATATCAAAGGTCAAGTATGGACTACTTTCAGTGTTTATAAACAAACATGGCATCGCCCTTGTCATTCGGCGATCGAGTCAGAATTAACCATCGGGAATCTTGATAAACTACAGAGATAATTGCTATCATTATCAAAAGAACAGTCTAATATACTGAAAATCTGTGTCTAACTGTGACGTAGCTAAGGCATTTTATAAGTTTTGGCAACTTTGGAGAAATAATTTTGCGAGGGCACGAGGCCTAGCCAAGAGGGATCAGTAGCCATATCTGTGCTTGTAGACCTCTGCGGCTTGAAACCTTCTCCACAAATTAAAATAGTTGGATTTGGCCGAAATATGTTTGAATTGTTACCTTGTTTCGTTTTGTCGCTGTGTGTACATCTGACTACACTGCTTAACGCTATGACAGGACAGACCCACTGTCAACAACGTCTGAACGTGGCCGTGATGTCTCATAGACTAGGGTTAGAGTAGCTCCCCTTTGACAAAGGGCAGTTACTCTAGCGGACAGACCGATGGATTGCCGCGAAATGCAAGGAAAAACAATTGTTGTTTTGCGAATATGTTGCTTCGCCACTGTATAAGAAACAGATTTCAGTTGGAACTATATTGGCTACTGTCACTGTCCGACTGTCACAGCACTTACACTGTGACGTAATAAATATTAATACACACATTCCAGGAAAACTCGCAATGTTTCGGGAATGTTTATGAGAGAGGGAAAGCGATTTTGAAGCACAGAATTAAAGAATGACATTATATGATAAAGAGGTTATCACGCTTGTGTGTTTGGGGATGGTAAATATCCTGCATTAGGAATAAACACTATGTATTTAGCTCGCCAAGGCTCGCTAAATACAATGTTTATTCCTAATGCAGGATATTTACCATCCCCAAACACACTCGCGTGATAACCTCTATTTATAAGAGCTTGATGTTTGCTTGTGAAGCTGAAACTTACCATACATCTTTGATGTCTCTAAACAGTGCTCCCATGATTCAGTGATTCACATCAACAGTGATTCACATGCAGCATTAGAAATTGGCACTTGTCCTATAGTCCATGCCAAACTGCCCAGTAGTTAAGGTGTATCATAAGGACTAGTAGAAATTAACCATTTTTAAGGGTATTTGCTATATGTTATCATTATATGGACTAGCACACTAAAGATGTTAGTTTCTTCCGCTGACATGATCTTCTTTTTTCTATTTGGTCATTACTCAGGCTGGGTTTGCATTATCATTATGAAATTTGATATGGAGCAAGTACATTAAGTACTGTATTTGACGTAATAAGCGCCCAGGGTGCTCTCAAAATTAGAAATAGGGGACTCTTATTACAATATGATTTTGGTGAGAAAAAAGAGAGTTGAAAGATCGTAAATTTCGGGATTTATGCTGACAGCCTGAAAAGATACAAAAGAAAAGTCTGTGCGTATTATACACGACAGATATATTTTCCAGAATTTAATTGCCCATAATTAAGGGTGCATATAACACACGAGTGCATATTATACAAGAATAAATAAGTGTTCATTGATCAATCGGAAGGGGTGCTAATTGGGATTGTTCTCTAGCCAATATATGAGCAAATATTGCTGTGGGCGCTTATTAAAGCTGGGCTATTATTACGTCGAAAACGGTATGTGGTTTCCAGAATAACATAATATGTTTTTGGCATGTTTTGATTTTTTATTCAGTTGCAACCTTTGACTTAACGCACCTGTTTTTCTATTGTTACTACATTTTCAACACCTCTGCCAGCCTGGATGGAGTTTTAAATGTTTCTTGAGTCATGTTAATGTATTTGATACTAAAAGCCCTTCGGGTGAGATTCTGTATATCTGTTGTTGTTTTGTCATTGAATGCAGCAGTATGCTTGTTACATAGAGTGTGCATGAGTATTCTCCCAATATTACCATATTTGAAAACAATCTTGAGGACAATCTTGTCAGTCAATTGCCTAGACAATACACCAGCCTGATACCCAGTGACATTGACAATGGTTTCAGGTAACCCTTTGTAGAACAGATAACCAGACTCTAACCCAGTGACACTGACAATGGTTTCAGGTAACCCTTTGTAGAACAGATAACCAGACTCTAACCCAGTGACATTGACAATGGTTTCAGGTAACCCTTTGTAGAACAGATAACCAGACTCTAACCCAGTGACATTGACAAAGGTTTCGGGTAACCCTTTGTACAACAGATAACCAGACTCTAACCCAGTGACACTGACAATGGTTTCAGGTAACCCTTTGTAGAACAGATAACCAGACTCTAACCCAGTGACACTGACAATGGTTTCAGGTAACCCTTTGTACAACAGATAACCAGACTCTAACCCAGTGACACTGACAATGGTTTCAGGTAACCCTTTGTACAACAGATAACCAGACTCTAACCCAGTGACACTGACAATGGTTTCAGGTAACCCTTTGTACAACAGATAACCAGACTCTAACCCAGTGACACTGACAATGGTTTCAGGTAACCCTTTGTACAACAGATAACCAGACTCTAACCCAGTGACACTGACAATGGTTTCAGGTAACCCTTTGTACAACAGATAACCAGACTCTAACCCAGTGACACTGACAATGGTTTCAGGTAACCCTTTGTACAACAGATAACCAGATTCTAACCCAGTGACATTGACAATGGTTTCAGGTAACCCTTTGTACAACAGATAACCAGACTCTAACCCAGTCACATTGACAATGGTTTCAGGTAACCCTTTGTACAACAGATAACCAGACTCTAACCCAGTGACACTGACAATGGTTTCAGGTAACCCTTTGTACAACAGATAACCAGACTCTGAAATGTTGTTTTAGTTATCTCTTTACAACCCAGAGTTTGCTTTAAATCAAGACACATTTTCTTGATGATGTGTTTCAGTTCTATGACTTGATGGAGTTGTTCCAGACCGGGGGGCAGATGCCAGACACAAACTACATCTTCATGGTAAACTCACGTGCAGTGGGCCTTTGTGGCCTCACAGTTTCTTCTACATAAATGAAATGGGTGTAGTAAACTCAAAAGGCTTTGCATGCCTAAGCCTCATTGTTGTATGAATATATCTTTTGCAGTAGACACTGATTCGGGAAGTTAATGTGTGCATGGTGTAAGTACGTCAAATGACTTTGAAAATATTCATCAAGAAAAACGAAACAGAAATCTAGATGATGTGTTGACACATAAATCAACCCCTAAACAAACTGCAGGCTGTGAAGACCTGTACAGTCCTGGGCCCCGTTCCTCAAAGCGATCTTAGCACTAAGGTGATCGTAAGTCCAATACTTTAACATAGGTTTACGATCATCGTAGTGCTAAGATCACTTTGAGGAACGGGACCCTGAACTACTGGCCTGGAAGGAGATCTACAGGAGATCTCCAGGAGACCCTCAAGGCAGGCAGTTGTTTCAAACACTGCTGCTGCACGTTAGAATTAGATGGACATTCATCAGATTTGCAAAATATAGATGACAATTCTATTTATATGAGGTTAGATGTGTAAACTGTTGAGATGGTGAGTGAGTTCCCTATATGGGTGTGTGGGGTGGTCAGGTAGCCTAGTGGTTAAAGCATTCACTCGTCACACCGAAAACCTGGGGGAGATGGTGAGTGAGGTCCCTATATGTGTGTGGGGCGGTCAGGTAGCCTAGTGGTTAAAGCATTCACTCGTCACACCGAAAACCCGGTTTAAATTTCCCCACATGGGTACAATGTGTGAAACCCATTTCTGGTGTCCCCTGTCATGATACTGCTGGAATATTGCTAAAAACAGTATAAAACCATACTCACTCACTCACTCACCGTATAGACCCGTGAAGATTCCGGGGTAGAATTGGTCTTCAGCAACCCATACTTGCAGTAAAAGGCGACTATGCTTGTCGTAAAAGGCGACTAACGGGATCGGGTGGTCAAGCTCACTGACTTGGTTGATACATGTCATCGATCCCAATTGCGTGGATCGATGCTCATGATGTCAATCACTGGATTGTCTGGTCCAGACTCGATTATTTACAGACCGCTGTCATATAGCTGGAATATTGCTGAATGCGGCGTTAAACAACAAACAAACAAACAAACAAAACCTACACTCATCGTATATGTCTTTATGTTGCTGTAATGACCAGCACAATTGAATGAACACTAACACCTGTCTTTTTGTAAATGGAAAGGTAGATTATAACATCTTGACTTTCAAGATACTTGCTTTCAACGCTGACCACTGTACATTCCATTCCTATCCACAAGATATGATATCTGAAACTAGAGTCTGTGAATCACAGAAGTTAAAAGTTGAGACAGAGGCTGCATTGGTCTTGCAGTAATGAGCGCTGTTGCATTGTTCAGTGTCTGGGCTGTCTTACTCAAAATGCTGGGATGTTTCAGGGGGACTTTGTCGACCGTGGGTACTACAGTCTGGAGACCTTCACCTTGCTGCTCACTCTCAAGGCCAAGTGAGTTTCACCTTCATAATAACTAATTGGCTGTTAATCTTGTTGGATGAATAAGAGGTTGGATCTTACAATTCACATGGTTAACACATACCTGACACACATCTGTTTGATCTTCTTGGTGTCAGCTGAGAGAATGTTGGTACATTCCACCCCTGAAGTGTTCTATTTTTGCTGAAGTGTCCCTTCTCCCCCTAGCCTTTGATGAACTTTTAACTTTTAATGCATCCTGTTGTGGCCTATGCTGAGTGAACATCTTCTCTCAAACCACTGCTCTCATGAAGCTGAAACTTAACATACTTGTTACCACAAAACAAAATTGAAAATAATTTGACTCAAATGTTTGCTATGACAGCCACAGTGAAAAATATGTTTGTAGCCACTTCACAGTCAACCGAAATTTGCTATAAATGTTGGTATTTATGTCAATCATTCCATTCCAGGTGGCCTGACAAGATTGTTCTATTGAGAGGAAATCACGAAAGTCGCCAGATCACACAAATCTATGGGTTCTATGGTAAGACTCAAGTGCATTATTCACCTTCTCTGCTCAGTGTCAGCATGGCTAAGGGACCACAGTTTCATCTTGAAGCTGCTGGTAATATAGAACAGGTTGTTGTCATGTCATGGCTGCACCTAGGCCTGTCTGTTTGTGACTCTTGAGGACTCAGCAGTAAGTTTTGGGAGTGCAAAGTTAACCACTGTGACATAAACACTTGCTTATTTTGTGTGCTGATTTCCTTGTTTGAAGCTTTCCTTGAAGCTCTAAATGGACAATTCTTAAGCTTATCCCTTCTCAAACTACGTATTTCCTGCTTCTTTTGATCCCTATGTGGAAATGTACTTGAACAAAGTTTCCAGCTTCTAAAAACATGTACACAAAATGCCATTTAGAATGTCATTTCTAAAAAACTTTGCCCGAACACATCCCAGCATCACCATGGTCACCTCCCCAACAAATGGGCCGTGCACTGTAATTCCATGCATTGTAACCTTACACGACATGATCACCTGACTACCCCTTTCACATCATTCTCACTCTCACTGCCACCCTGTGGATAGCACAGAACAGGTGCCACTTGCAGACAACTTACTCCACTGCAGATCCTCATGATGACTGCTGTGATTGCCGCAACCTTTGCTCCAAGGACCACGGATGTTCCCAGTGTTCTGACCTTTCAGAGGAAGCTTTCTGTGTAAATCTGCATAAATGCCACAAACGTGATGTTGAGCGCCTGTTAAAGTTTAAGGACACAAAACACGGGCCTTCCTCTGCCCAGAAACCCAGCAGTCACCAAGCCGGCTGTCCCCTCCACTGTTGCTGTAACGAAACTACCTCCTGCGTCTACCATGCCCTCCTTGTCGGTTGAAGACGATGATATCTCAGACAGTTTCCTCACTGATGACATTCCCGCCAAATCGGAAAAACCAGATTTCCCAACTGTGCTTGTTACCACACCTACGATGGAGCATCCTACAGTCTCAGATGTCTGCACAGTTCTGCTAGAGGATAGCTCATCCAGGCCACCTTCCCAGCGCTCCCTGGTCCATGGATTGACGTTTTGACTCAGCATCATAGTGGTAGACCCATGTTTCATTACCCGTTACCAATCTCTTTCTGAATTTAACAAAATCCTTCTCAAATAGCTTGTCTGTGGAGACTCTGGTCTTCAACATCGAAGTCGCCGCAACACACGTCCATATCGGCGGTGTCCCAAGCCCTTACCTGCTCATCTCTACTTTAGGCAATTGATGTCTCAGTATTGGTTGGATGATCCTCTTGTGGATGTTGTCTATCATTCCTCTTCCCATCTCAGCATCCCACGAGCGTGATGGATGGCTTTGACTAAGCATTAAAAGATATGCCAAGGTGGCTCACCCTGCTGTCCATCGGATATAGTGGCGTGGTCTGTCTTGTAGAACTGATTGCCCGGAGACCCTGTAGAGTCTTTATTTGTATCACTGTTGAGCAGCAGTTTCCTCATGTATAGCTCACACGAACAGTTGTAGTCTCTAAGGCTAGGTTATCGGCACCCTACCGACCAGCCATAGGATAAATGCATAGTGTGAAATCGAATAAGTTGAAATATTTGTAAATTTTACATGGGATTGTATATTTATATACTTATCCTACACTATATGCCCTCCCAACCATTCCTGCATCACAGCCCCTCTAGCCTTTCAGCCCTAAGAAAGACAATGATGTGGCAGGGGAAGTAGGGTGATCATATCGTGGAAGGTCATCACGCACAGGACCCATTTGTTGGGGTGGTGACCATGGTGATGCTGGGATGTGTTTCAGCGAAATCTTCTTAGAAGCTAGAACTTTTGTTTCCACATGAGGATCGAAAGAAGAAGGAATAAATGCATAGTGTGATTTTTAAATATACAATTTTATGTTAAATTTACAATCTCATCTTTGCTTGTATTTCTTATCTTAATAGAAACAATGGTTACCTTTCAATGTGCATTCTGCATTTGAATTGACCTCTTTGCCCATATGGTAATGTGGAAAAAGAGTCTGCCCTTGGATCAGAAGGTCCCCGTTTCGAATTCCTCCGCAGGAATTCCATGGCCACTACACAATGATAATTGCAGTGCAGTTAATTTTACTTCCATCCTCAATGTTCTTGTGTATAGGATGCACAGTTTTGTGTCTGACACCCTGGATGTGGTACCTACATGTTGAGTACTTGTCTGCTTGCTACTGAATATTTTGTTGCATATTGAGTAAATGATATCTCTTCCAGATGAGTGTCAGACAAAGTATGGGAACGCCAATGCCTGGAGATATTGCTGTCGGGTGTTTGACCTCCTCACCATCTCCGCTGTAAGTACCACAGGTGTTTGACCTCCTCACCATCTCCACTGTAAGTACCACAGGTGTTTCACCCTCTCACCATCTCCGCTGTAAGTACCACAGGTGTATGACCTCCTCACCATCTCCGCTGTAAGTACCACAATGTTTGACCTCCTCACCTTCTCCACTGTAAGTACCACAGGTGTTTCACCCTCTCACCATCTCCGCTGTAAGTACCACAGGTGTTTGACCCTCACCATCTCCGCTGTAAGTACCACAGGTGTTTGACCTCCTCGCCATCTCCGCTGTAAGTACCACAGGTGTTTGACCCTCTCACTGTAAGTACCACAGGTGTTTGACCCTCTCACTGTAAGTACCACAGGTGTTTGACCTCCTCACCATCTCCACTGTAAGTACCACAGGTGTTTCACCCTCTCACCATCTCCGCTGTAAGTACCACAGGTGTTTGAACTCCTCACCATCTCCGCTGTAAGTACCACAGGTGTTTGACCTCCTCACCATCTCCGCTGTAAGTACCACAGGTGTTTGACCTCCTCACCATCTCCACTGTAAGTACCACAGGTGTTTCACCCTCTCACCATCTCCGCTGTAAGTACCACAGGTGTATGACCTCCTCACCATCTCCGCTGTAAGTACCACAATGTTTGACCTCCTCACCATCTCCACTGTAAGTACCACAGGTGTTTCACCCTCTCACCATCTCCGCTGTAAGTACCACAGGTGTTTGACCCTCACCATCTCCGCTGTAAGAACCACAGGTGTTTGACCTCCTCGCCATCTCCGCTGTAAGTACCACAGGTGTTTGACCCTCTCACTGTAAGTACCACAGGTGTTTGACCCTCTCACTGTAAGTACCACAGGTGTTTGACCTCCTCACCATCTCCACTGTAAGTACCACAGGTGTTTCACCCTCTCACCATCTCCGCTGTAAGTACCACAGGTGTTTGACCTCCTCACCATCTCCGCTGTAAGTACCACAGGTGTTTGACCTCCTCACCATCTCCGCTGTAAGTACCACAATGTTTGACCTCCTCACCATCTCCACTGTAAGTACCACAGGTGTTTCACCCTCTCACCATCTCCGCTGTAAGTACCACAGGTGTTTGACCCTCACCATCTCTGCTGTAAGTACCACAATGTTTGACCTCCTCACCATCTCCACTGTAAGTACAACAGGTGTTTGACCTCCTCACCATCTCCGCTGTAAGTACCACAGGTGTTTGACCTCCTCACCATCTCCGCTGTAAGTACCACAGGTGTTTGACCCTCTCACTGTAAGTACCACAGGTGTTTGACCCTCTCACCATCTCTGCTGTAAGTACCACACGTGTTTGACCTCCTCACCATCTCCGCTGTAAGTACCACAGGTTTTTGCAACAAGGCTATTGCAGGTATATGTTTAGAAATTAGCTTTGAGGTTATGAATACAGGTCTGAATATCAGCTTTTGGGCCTTCTTTGTTGCTTGGTTTTCAGGACATTTGGTCAGCAATGGTCAGTGGATGAAAAAAACTTAAACTAGACCCTTGAATTTGGTGATTTGTAGTGGTTTGGTAGTGATGGGTATTGACCTGGCTTTTGTATTGCCATTTATTACAATAATGATTCCTGTATTATGATGCATACCACAATATATTGCATGTCTTGTTTCGACTGTAATTTGTTATTAACCAGAATGTTATGTTTCAGATCATCGATGAATGCATTCTGTGTGTACACGGTGGCCTTTCTCCGGACATCAAGACAATCGACCAGATCCGTACCATCGAGCGCAACCAGGAGATACCTCACAAGGGGGCTTTTTGTGGTATCCTTTCAAGAGCTGCGTAGGAATCCATTACTATACCGTAGTGTCGTCCATCTCCAAGTTTGGCTGGTTAAGTAACGCTGGTCTTCTCATAGATTAATGCCCACTCCACAATTGGTACAAAAATAACAACAATTATAACATGTTGGAGTGAATTGAGGACTCTTAGATTGAACCCCCTTTTGACAGCTCTCAAAGAATAATATTCAGACAGCTTAAATGAAAATCTTTAGCTTGTTCTCATTGGGCAGACTCATAGGAGTGAGTGGTGTAATGCTTGTTCCGTTGACCAGATAAATATGTGGACCTTAACTCCTAACACAGACCTGGTGTGGTCCGACCCTGAGGACGTCGACACATGGGCCATGAGTCCAAGAGGTGCTGGCTGGCTTTTCGGCGCCAAGGTTACCAACGAGGTTTGTTCAAGTTTAATATCCGTGCTTGAAATTAAGGAGGATCGTTGGATTCTTGAGGTTTGCTCCTACAGGATTTGAATCAGGGGACGCCATCAATATTTGACTTTTACCTCTAGGGTCTTGGCAGGTTGCTTCATCCTTTTATCTTGTTGATGAAGGAGAGTTGGGGCATGTTTTCAGTAACCTCAAAATATGACGGCTTCCAAATATTCTGGGTTCGAATAGGTCCCCAGGAAGCTATGCTTGTTGTAAGAGACGACTCAGTAGATCAGGTGATCAGGCTCAATGACATGGTTAATGACATGGTTAATGACATGGTTAATGGCATGGCATAGTAGCCTGACGGCATGGATCATTCCTCATCATATCAACCACTAGATTGTCTGGTTCAGTCTCAGTTTTTAACCATGTCATGTAGTCATGTAGCTCGTATATTGTTCAGTGCAGCATTAAACAACAAACACAAACACACACAGACACGTTCCACTACTACTCCTATTTTTTAACCTTTCTATCTTGTATCACTAACCTTTCTAGGCCAATGTTACAATAACCCACCCTGTGGAAGCTGTACATGGGACTTTGTCCCTAACACCTCATGCTTGTCATCCAACTGTGTCCGTGGTCTTGTGGTAGAGCGTCCGCCCGGAGAGCGGAAGGTCCAGGGTTCGATCCCGGGCCGCGTCATACAAAAAGACGTTAAAAGATTGTACTTGTTGTTACCCTGTCTGGCGCTCGGCATTAAGGGGCTAAAACAAGGACTGGTCGGCTCAGAGTCAGTATACTGTGTCTGAGTGGGGTATTCATGTTAAACTGCGGCATGGTATCTCAGTGAGCTAGCACTATAAATCGGCATCAGTCCGGACTAGTACAAGCAGCCACACACACACATACACCTGCATGCGCGTCGCTATATAAGTGCAATAATCTTGGACACGACGTTAAACCCAATTTCACCTCACCTCACCTCACCTCATCCAACTGTGCAGGACATCAGGTGGTCAGGTCCTGTGGCTGATCACATGTCATCCCACCCTGTGGAAGCTGTACATGGGACTTTGTCCCTAACACCTCATGCTTGTCATCCAACTGTGCAGGACATCAGGTGGTCAGGTCCTGTGGCTGATCGCATGTCATCCCACCCTGTGGAAGCTGTACATGGGACTTTGTCCCTAACACCTCATGCTTGTCATCCAACTGTGCAGGACATCAGGTAGTCAGGTCCTGTGGCTGATCCCATGTCATCCCACCCTGGCTGCATGGGACATGGTTGCCATGGTGTTGTTGTTAAAGGGGAAGTGTACACGCAAAAATCACTTTCTTTCTTTTTCTAAACAAAACGCAATTTTAGAATTAGTTAGTATCTGTCTTAATATACACTGATTTTTTTCACAGTGAAAGTAGGAAGCTCAAAATAGTGTGAAAATGCTATGCCGTTATGAGGCCTTCGTTTTTCGAGCTAAACAGGCCAGAGTTATCCCCCTTAGATTATGACGTAATTGGCGCCAATTCAACTGGGTCCCTGTCTATTTTCAACACAAAAGATATCAAGTACCAGTTTGCGGTAAAACAACATGGCCTAAGACACACTCCGGCGCAGTGGTGACTCAGCATAACACTATGCTGGCTGGCATCTGAGACGCTAGAATCACACACCTGTACTTACACCACGTGAAGCGGCTCTAACAAAGCATGATGACGTCATAGTGTTTATCAATCGGCACCAATGACGTCATATTGCAAGGGGCACAAGCCATGGTGTTTTTGGTCTGGAAATAGAACACTTGGTAAATGTGAAAAATATAAATCGTTTTAATGCAAAAAATATGTTAATTAATTGTGATATTTTTATATTTTTGTCTATGACACTACTAGGTTAACACTTTTAATGTGCAAAAAGTACACGAAAAATAGGTTCATTTCCTTGTGAACTTGCCCTTTAAACACCTTGGACACACTACCTCCAGAATCTAGAAGCGTGGGTGACTCACAGTGTCTTGTTTGTTTCTGTCCCATACATGGAGACAGTGTCATGTCAACTGCTGTACAGTATTCACCATCCCATTAACACGATTGCTTCTGTTGCCAGTTTGTCCACATCAATAACCTGAAGCTCATCTGCCGAGCTCACCAGCTGGTTCATGAAGGTAAGGAAGGCCTAGTGGTACCATCCTTCCCTGTTACACTTCAATCTAGGACGTCCATTAGTGATGATCCCTCATGTATAATTGTTGCTATGACCGATTCCAAGGGCATGGATGTCTCAGTTCTCTAAGACTTGCAGTTTGATGTGAAGAGTTACGCCCCTTAGGCATGTAAGAATCCTGTTCTGAGTTCAATCTCAGATTGGCCCTGATGTGCCTGGGTTTTATCAGTGAAAAAAAATCTTGGACCTGCATCACTTTTGGCTTTCCTCCCCCATCTTATGACCCTGGGGTAGATGTGGTCCCCAGCAACCTCAGCAACTTGGTGCTCGGGTGGTCATGTTCAGTGAGTTGGTTGATTTCATTTCATCATACCCTGATGGCATGGATCGTTGATCATAATATCCATCACTTGTTTGTCTGGTCCAGACCTGTTTGATTAATGACCCCCATTATTTAGCTGGAATATTGCTGGCACGTTAAACAACAAACAAGATAGCATTAAAATCTCAGTTCACTCACTCACTTTTCCCCACTTAGTGACAAAGGGAAATACTTTTAGCCACAACTCACTACTCACTGTTACCTCTATCAGGGTGGGGGGAGGTAGCCTAGTGGTCAAAGTGGTTGCTCTTGACGCTGAAGGCCTGAGTTCCATTCCCCAAATGGGTAAAATGTGTGAAGCCCATTTCCGTTGTCCCCTGCCCGGATATTGGTGGAATACTGATCTAACCATACTCACTCTTCCAGGGTACAAATACATGTTTGATGAGAAGCTTGTGACGGTGTGGTCGGCACCCAACTACTGCTACCGCTGCGGCAACATCGCTGCCGTCCTCTCCTTCAGTAACCCAGACACCAAGGAGGCCAAGCTGTTCCGTGCAGTTCCAGACAATGAGAGAGTTATTCCCCCTCGGACACAGACCCCGTACTTCTTATGAGCATCATGTCACAGTAACAAAGGATAAGTGATAGTGCCTCACACTCTGGGGTGGTGTTTGATTTGACAACAGTGAAATAATTCAGGGTGAACCACTGTGAGAATCCAATGAGAAATACTCTTTATCAATGATTGAAATATTAACATCTGAATTGAGATTATAACATTTTGCATGCAACAATTATTTGATAGATACTAATGAATCTGTGTTTATGTAGTGTGAGAGCGCCATGTGTGATTAGGTCCTTTCTGGCCCACAAGATCTGGCAAATTTCAAATATGGAGAAAAGTGTAAATACCTGAAGTTATTTAAGACATACAGTATCACGGGACTTTTACTTGGCAATTTTCTTTTGGGAGTATTGGATTTAAACACAAGTATGTCCAGTGGTGTACTTTAAAGGTGTTAAAACCAAGAGTACGGTTGGAATTGTTTTTCAAGAGTATTTAATTGTTTTTCTCAACATTGAACAGTCCTTGATGCAAGTTGATTTTTTTATGAGTTATAAAACAATAGTGCAGTCATTTGCCTAACTGCATTATGAGTTTATAAAACACTATATACAGTCAAGTCTCGTTAATCCAACAATCGGCTTTATCTGACACAAATGATGGGAACCGATTACATCAGTGCTCTATATAGTCACGTTAATCCCACAGTCTCACACTCAGACTACGACACACCTAATTTGCAACGAATTACCAAAATCACTCATTAATCAATCTCGTTAATCCGACCCAGTGATCCGCTGCAAGTACACAGCCCCATGTTTTGATGTGAGACGTGTCGGCTAGTAGCTGCATATTACCAACGGTTGTATGGAAAAACTTGCTTAACAACAAACAATTAAAGCTTTGAATTAACAAACAGGATATAAAAATATCACATGCTTAGATTACCTCAGTCTCATAAAAATCAGATACAAGTTCTTGCAACCGCTGAAGATATCCCATTACAGGTCACGTCAGAACGACCTTTCGCAAACTTTGACTGACCAATGAAATGGCTAACAGGAAGTCTACATTGACCACTAAGAAAGCAGCTTTCTTGAGCTTTGTGGCACTTGTTTCAAACTGGCAACTTCCATTCCAGACTATGCTTACAAAAGTATCTTTAATCAGTCAACAGTAGTTCTGTGTTTAGCTTTAGAGGTTGCATGATTAGAAAACATATTCCGCTAACAATATGAATATTTCATTTTTATTTTATCGTTATCTGTCGTGTAGTTGTCCGATTTTCGATCACGAAAGTTGATGCAACTTAATTTCGTGTATCTGACATACTCGTTAATCCGACATAATCATATTCTGCCAACCATGTTGGATTAACGGGACTTGACTGTGTGTACTTGCTCATGGGTGGTTTCTCCAGAACCATGTAAATCCTTGCTTTGTAACCTCAATATTTTATTGAACATTGCAGTTACCGGTACTCTAGTGTGGTAAAGAAACTGTGCCAGTCATTGGAACCCCTCATTTGATATTAAGTTCCTAACAATACTCCAATCATCAGAATTTGTCCTATTTAGTGGGGTGAAAAGACTTCATCTGACCTTGGCCTTCATACATGTGTCTTTGCCATTTGAGCAGGGAGTTGATTAATGATGACATGGAGGCCTTGTCTTGACTAGTGTCCTACCAGGGTGATGTTCACAATGTATTGGTCCCCCCACACCTGCCCTAGGCGGGTCTGTGGTGGGTGGGTGGGAGTACTCTATGACTGGTCCACCCACACCTGCCCTAGGCGGGTCTGTGGTGGGTGGGTGGGAGTACTCTATGACTGGTCCCCCCACACCTGCCCTAGGCGGGTCTGTGGTGGGTGGGTGGGAGTACTCTATGACTGGTCCCCCCACACCTGCCCTAAGCGGGTCTGTGGTGGGTGGGTGGGAGTACTCTATGACTGGTCCCCCCACACCTGCCCTAAGCGGGTCTGTGGTGGGTGGGTGGGAGTACTCTATGACTGGTCCACCCACACCTGCCCTAGGCGGGTCTGTGGTGGGTGGGTGGGAGTACTCTATGACTGGTCCCCCCACACCTGCCCTAAGCGGGTCTGTGGTGGGTGGGTGGGAGTACTCTATGACTGGTCCACCCACACCTGCCCTAAGCGGGTCTGTGGTGGGTGGGTGGGAGTACTCTATGACTGGTCCACCCACACCTGCCCTAGGCGGGTCTGTGGTTGGTGGGTGGGAGTACTCTATGACTGGTCCCCCCACACCTGCCCTAAGCGGGTCTGTGGTGGGTGGGTGGGAGTACTCTATGACTGGTCCACCCACACCTGCCCTAGGCGGGTCTGTGGTGGGTGGGTGGGAGTACTCTATGACTGGTCCACCCACACCTGCCCTAGGCGGGTCTGTGGTTGGTGGGTGGGAGTACTCTATGACTGGTCCACCCACACCTGCTCTAGGCGGGTCTGTGGTTGGTGGGTGGGAGTACTCTATGACTGGGACCACACTTCTGGTCAGTTGGAAGCTGATATCTTTACAGTTTTAAGCTGTCAATGTATTTAGATCTACGAGTGCATTGAAACAAATTTGTGACTTATTTATCACTCAATGTTGAATTTTTTCATTCCATGTCCTCACAGCAAAAATGTCTTGTTCAAATGCATTTTTTTTACCATGATTGCAATTGGAGAAAATGTTGTTTTATTAAATAATAATAAAATGTTCAAAATTCGCAAAATCGAACTGAAGGTGTAACTGGGGAGAAAAGGTCCCAAACATGGCAACCTTGTCTGCCCACAGTGTCACAGCAGTAGGTGTTATACACACAAAGGTGGCTATCTCATGTCTTGGCCGGCAGGACGTCAGATAAAGAATGAACTTACATTATCTTTTTCTATAGTAACAATTCTGTACTTTTTTTCTTTGAGATTCTTTGTTCTGTACGCCAGCAGTTGTCCTGTTGCTTCCGATTTTCACATTTTGATGATACTTTGAACAATCTCTTTAAGATCAGATCTTTATCTTCTTTGTCTTTGATAGAGATTACTGAATCAGATTTAAACATCAAATTTTATTGAGATTAATATTTTGAATAATTTCCAGGTCACGCTTGTTGATTGAGTGCACATAAGAAAGATTAAAATATTCAAGATGGAAGGTTCATAAAATGAATGTAAATATTGTTTTTATAGTAGTTCATGTGCGGATTCCTCATGTTGATTGTAAATCAGGTAGAAGCATTTCTGTTTGTATCACAGTTATAATCTTTGTATAGATTTGTTCATCGCTGAGTCAACAAGGCAGAGTCAACATTGAGGGGTTTTTGTTAGAACTTTCTTGTGATGGTGAGGCCAGAGAACCCCAGCTATGTTTAGAGTAATAATGATAATAATCATACTATCAGTCGCTATTGCTAGTAGTGGCTGGGTAACTTTGTGAAACAAGTGAAGATTGTTTTTATGATGACTTTGAACAGCGGGATGCGTACTCATCATCCAAGTTCCACATTGTAAGCAACAAGCACCCATGAACTGGGAGTCGATGAAGAGAAACAGTTCTGTTTACATTCCTTCTTTCCCTGATTTGTGACCTGAAGATTTCTGGACAGGATGTGGATCATCTGTATGATGACTGAATGAATTGATAAGTCAGTTGAAACATGAAATAAGTCACTGATTGATCATGCTAAGTCATCAATATATTTGTGTGGATAATTACTACCCAGTTTCTCAACACAACTGGCTAACAGCTAACACTGTCGCATGTCCCACTCCCTGCAGACTCGTTGTGATGTACTGGACATACACTACTTATTGCTGGACATCTTTCATCTTGACTTGGGGTTTAATTACAACTACAGTCGTTGTGCACTTGTATTATATCACCTGTATGGAGTCCAACTTAACAGGAGCTGTGGAAATATATTGTTGTGTATATATAATTCTATTCTGGAGGTTTTAGGAACTGGTCATTTATTATAGGGTGTGGGTTGAAAAATAACAGTGGAAAAGGCAGTTGTTAAAATGATCATAACAATATTAGGGGGCCTGAAAAATATGACAGTTCTATGATTAATCAAATAAACACATGTCTCTCCATGTGGACATCTGTAACACATGACACATGACAGCCACACGAGCACTGCTCCATGCATCACTTGGTGCTGTGGTAGTGACGTGTCTCTCCATGTGGACATCTGTAACTCATGACAGCCAAACGAGCACTGCTCCATGCATCACTTGGTGCTGTGGTAGTGAAGTGTCTCTCCATGTGGACATCTGTAACTCATGACACATGACAGCCACACGAGCACTGCTCCATGCATCACTTGGTGCTGTGGTAGTGACGTGTCTCTCCATGTGGACATCTGTAACTCATGACACATGACAGCCACACGAGCACTGCTCCATGCATCACTTGGTGCTGTGGTAGTGACGTGTCTCTCCATGTGGACATCTGTAACACATGACACATGACAGCCACACGAGCACTGCTCCATGCATCACTTGGTGCTGTGGTAGTGACGTGTCTCTCCATGTGGACATCTGTAACACATGACACATGACAGCCACACGAGCACTGCTCCATGCATCACTTGGTGCTGTGGTAGTGACGTGTCTCTCCATGTGGACATCTGTAACTCATGACAGCCACACAAGCACTGCTCCATGCATCACTTGGTGCTGTGGTAGTGACGTGTCTCTCCATGTGGACATCTGTAACACATGACACATGACAGCCACACGAGCACTGCTCCATGCATCACTTGGTGCTGTGGTAGTGACGTGTCTCTCCATGTGGACATCTGTAACTCATGACAGCCACACGAGCACTGCTCCATGCATCACTTGGTGCTGTGGTAGTGAAGTGTCTCTCCATGTGGACATCTGTAACTCATGACACATGACAGCCACACGAGCACTGCTCCATGCATCACTTGGTGCTGTGGTAGTGACGTGTCTCTCCATTTGGACATCTGTAACTCATGACACATGACAGCCACACGAGCACTGCTCCATGCATCACTTGGTGCTGTGGTAGTGACGTGTCTCTCCATTTGGACATCTGTAACTCATGACACATGACAGCCACACGAGCACTGCTCCATGCATCACTTGGTGCTGTGGTAGTGACGTGTCTCTCCATGTGGACATCTGTAACTCATGACACATGACAGCCACACGAGCACTGCTCCATGCATCACTTGGTGCTGTGGTAGTGACGTGTCTCTCCATGTGGACATCTGTAACTCATGACACATGACAGCCACACGAGCAATGCTCCATGCATGAATTTGTGTGACACCTACCAGTGCTGTTTGACTGGTTTTCCTTCTACTGGAACAGGCCCATGGCTTTCTTCGTTAAGAATAGCGACGACACAACGCACACACATGTATTCACGGGAGATGGAGGAATGTAGTGTTTACGATCATGTGAAGGACTCACAATGTCCCACAGTAAGTTTGCCCTGGGATTAGAGCTATCACAGGTTCAATTGCAACATAGAATTGTGAAACTGGTAATCTAAGATTGCCTTCAGTCAGGTGAAGAAGACAAAGTTAGTGGCTGTGCTGGATATCTTTGTGGCAGGGGGTTAGGATGGTATTTGGATTCGTAGATTGTCAACCTGTGCCAAAACTCAATAACTTCCTGAATGTACAGTGCAGCCCAATAATCACCAGGTGCAGTTGTTCCCCTTGGGTACTGGATCTGGTGATTATTGATTGGAATCGCAGATCCACATCAATAATGACCTGCATCACTTCGGGCTTCCCACCCACATTAAGCTGACATACAGCGATATGACTGATAAACTTGTCAAAGCAGGTTTACCCTACTCGACAAACATATAGATGTGTGATGCCGTATGCATGTGGAATAGTCCTAGGAAATCACAGCAATAGTTACACATTAAGTATTTTGTCCTGTTGCTAACTTTGAAGATTTTGTGTCTCTAGACTGTAGATGTTAATCATAGGTATATGCTATGGCATTTGATACACAATCAAAACTGTAAAGTGCTGAAAAGACGCTTTTGATCATACCTTGTTCTTGAGTGACAATGTCTGTCTGATCATATGTTTTATGAAAGTTATTTTAACATATGCATTGATTCCAACATGAAATGACCGGTTGTACATATTTTTGTGTTATACTGTAACATACATGTTTTGTAAAAGAAAAGTACATATGTAGTTTCCAATAAACATCACCGATTGTACACATTTGTTTGTTGTATCAGGGTTCTGTTTAACTTTTATCAGCAGATTTGTATCCGAGCAACATTTGTCTGGGGCAAAGATAATCCCTAACCAAGTGTCATTTGTTTCAGTGTCCCAGAATAAACAATGTATCCTGGTTAATCCATTTGGTGCCATTTTCACTGCGTGAGTGAGAATGGTTTTACTCTGCTTTTAGCAATATTCCAGCAATATCAAGGCAGGGCACACCAGATATGGGCTTCACACATTGTACCCATGTGGGGAATTGAACCGGGTCTTCGATGTGACAGGCGAACACTTTAACCACTCGGCTGTCATCAGGATTTACGAATCACCAGCAGAATAATGTCCCATTGAAGTAAGAAATAAGGTTTGCTCTGCGCCAATGTGTAGTGTAATAAGAGTATAAATTTGTCCTGAACTATTATAGTTTAAGCAGAAGGGCACCTCTCTCCCAGTGCTTTGACGTTTTAGAAGACTGGGAAACTTTATTACACTAAACATAGGGGTAGAGCAAACTTGATTACTTTTCTAAGATGCCAGTCGTTTTGTTTGACTGCAGTATGTTGCTTAGTGCCCTACACTGAGCACCAGGTGTGCATGTGGTTATGAACCTTGTCAAGGATTCTCATTCCTGTCCAGGGACAGACAATATTCATAGGGCACCAACGCCCACCTCTGCCAACTTTGATCATTTACAGAACCATCTTAGAATATATAGTAAAAACAGATCAGGACATCAGGGGAAATCGTCCAAATGAATTAATTCCTGAATTATGAACACACCACAAGTATATAGTGTGTAATATATTTGCCTAGGCCCAAATGGTCTAGGCAGTTCTATTCTCATTTAAATCGACCAGAATTATATATATTCCGAAGATAAATTTCTCTTTAAAAATAAACTGCAACAAGTTGATGTGGACTGTACCATTCCCAGTAAAAAGAGTCCAAATTCTCAAATGTCTTGTTAAATGAATCGGCAGTACATGTCCCTTTGTACCCAAAAGAAATGATACATCGCGCATTGTTTCGGGTTTACTTATCTTCTTTTCCATAAACTTCACAACCATTTCTTCAGACTTCTTTACCCATCTGGGATGTGCATCATTTGTGCCTATCTCTGGATCATTGCGAACACACGTATCTTCATCATTTGATTAATTCGCTTCAGTAAATAATTATACTTAAAGGCAAAAGAAACGCAAGTGAAGTATTTTGTTAGTGAAATGCACAAAATAATAATTTATGAAAGGAAATGTATACAAATGAAAATAAACGCTTTGAAGAAACATTTGACAGTTTAAATCATCCTTTTGAGCACTTCACTGGAACGCAGTCATTTCGATTCGTTTGATGTCTTTTGCACGTGTAGTGTAAATCACATGCACAAATGCGGGCATTTCCCCTTGTCCATCCTTAATAATGCATTGGCGACGTTAATAGTAGGAACAAGTTGTCTTCTCGGGTGAATCAAGGTTCAACCTTCCCATGCCGATGGCCGCATCAGAGAGTGGAGACGACGTAATGAACCGTCCGCTAACAGGGATGATGTTCTTCGTAATCAATAACAGGGATGTGATGCCCTGGTCACCGGACATGGCGCCAACTGAGCATGTCAGGGGCAAGACAGCCAAACACACTACAGGAACTGGAAGCATGTTTGGTGTGGGAATTGAACGGGATTCCTCAAACTTTCTTCCAGTTCAATGACGCTGCGGTGTGCGCGGCCTGCATCGCAGCTAACAGAGGCAACACACACACACGTGTCAGGCTGAGACGGCACAGTACCACAACGACTCACAAGACCAGTAGGCGTTCCGGGTTGGAATAGGTCCCCAACAGTCTATGCTGGTTTTGAGACAGGACCAAATGGATGGGGCGGCCAGGCTCGGTGACCTGGTTGATGGTGTGGATCGTTGCTGTCAGTAGCAATAATCAGTGGATTGCCTGGACTCGATTATTTACAGGCAGCCGGGATACTGCAGAGTGCGGCCTTAAACCAACTATTCACTGGTGTCTATGATTGCAAGACCTATTGTTGGAACTAGATCTGCTTGCGTGAATCAGTAATCTTATGTCCCTATCTTTCTATGGGACCCGTGAAGATTCCGGGGTAGAAGAGGTCTTCAGCAAACCATGCTTGCCGTAAAAGGTGACTATACTTGTCCTAAAAGGCGACTAACAGACTCGCTGACTTTGTTGATGCATGTCATCGATCCCAATTGCGTGGATCGATGCGCGTGATATTAATCACTGGATTGTCTGGTCCAGACTCGATTATTTACAGACCGCCGTCATACAGCTGGAATATTGCTGAGTGCGGCGTTAAACAACAAACCCCCCAAAAATATCTTTCTATGGGAGACGTGTGATTTCCAGTGACACACATCACAAACATTCAGGCCAGGAGAACCACTGGTTTTATACGAGCAACGTCCCACGCCACAGAGGTACGGAGACATCGAGCCTGACCACCGGGTCATAATTTGTCTCCTCTTGTGACAAGCAATAGAATAATCTCGGGGCCCATTTTAACCCGGGTCTCCACGAATGAATTGGTTTTGGGGTTTGAATATTGTTTAACGATAAAGTTGACCATATTACAAAAATTACAACATGCTCTAAATAACCGCCGATGGTCAAGGTAAGCTGGTGACTGACAGGCTGACGTGACGAGTTCATATTTACCTCCAGTTCCTTCTATTGCGGACTTATAATACATACTATGTCAAAGGGTGGATGCAGACAGGTGTTGTCAGGGTTGTTTTCAGTTTACATCTAACAAAGCTTTTGAAGTGAAAATAGTTTACTGTGTAGCGGCCATAAAATTTCCGAGTCCAGTGATGGGATTCGAACCACGGACCTTCTGATCAGAGGTCGGACGCCTTGTCCACATGACCAAAGAGGTTAACCCCATCAGCAAGCTGACAAGGTAAGGATGTCATCTGTGGGATGACTCCACGCCCTGCTACAACAGTAACAGGGCTCATCTGTTGTGTGACGATCTCAAGTCACGTGAACTTTCAAATCAGCCAATCAGCGTCCACATTCTCTGTTCGAGCGAGCGAAGCAGGATGTCCAGCATGTATGATTAATGTGTCTGGAAAACGAATTTAAACGTACTGCTCCGAATGTAAATAATAACGAACAAGCCAATGTATTGTTCGTATTTCCTACACTCTGCCATGGCATGTAAAACCAAAAGGAAATATGGTCGAAACAATAATTGTGTTCTGTGCGGTTTTTCTTTCGTTAACTTTCAAAATCAGGTAGAAGGAACTTAAGCCCCATTGCTTTAGAATGTTGACATCTGATTGGCTCAAGATCCAACACATCCTTCATTTAGATTGGGCCGCTAAAGTTGACACAGGGTTCACTCGACGCAACCTTGGAGGGGTTGTCAGATGTTTACGCAGTGCGCTACAGTATCGGAATATAGCCTCCGCTACTTATTTGGTATATAGCGCGCCATCTTAACCCGAGAACAAAAGAACAAAAACCGGAAATCACCTTTGAAATCCAAGGATTAAAGTATTCACAATGAAGTATTGCCCTGAACGATTTTGAATAACAACGTTCCGTGTTCCTGCATCTCATAGAATCGACTGTCTCCGGAGACAAGATTAACGGACATGGCAGGAACTGGTCGGCCATCAGCAACACTTTCAATCGGAAAGACCTTACAAGATTGTATAAAAATCCCAGCAGCGCATTAGAGCAGACAGGACTAATGAGGTTTTTTGATTAACCCCGCAGAGAGCATGTAGAGGAAAGTAAAGCGAACTGATTGGTACAGACAACCTCACATTGACTCCTTGGTTCAGTGTGCAGTGGTGGTCTATTGATTCAATACTTTTGAGTTCGTACATTATCGAAATGACGTTAAGGAAATGCTAAACACTAATCGGTATGTTTTTATATTTGTGTTGTAATAATCGATGTTTGGTTTGTCCAGAAGGATGATGTATGTCTTTGTGTGAAGTCCATGATAGTTTGTCAATACAGAAGACTGGAGTCGTACATTATATCTCTATGTCTTTCCTTCAACTATTATGATTGATAGAAACTGTTATGGTTGTCAGCGAAATTAATATTATAGTTAAAAAAGTCGCTTCGTTTTGTTTTAAGAAAATGAATTAATGCCCGTTAACGCCCTTTCACTTCACCTAGTGTACATTGTTTGTGTCGTACCTTTTAGTGTTCTAAAGTGCAAGGTAATGTTATGTCGTTAATCTTTGATAGAATTTGATTTCTGTTAAAAGAGGGTGTGTTATTTCAAAATATAAAGATGTGGTTCATAACGATCGAATATGAAAATATATCATAAATGTTTGCCTGTCGTAAGAGGCGACTAAAATGGCATCGGGTGGACTGACTTGGTCCATGTATGGATGCTGGGTCATCATATGCTGACTGCGCAGATCGATGGTCATTATGTCAATCACTGGCAACAAAACAAAGCTCCGTTGTTTCATCATCAACCATTTCGTGTTCGTTTTTTTCGGAAGCTCGTACACAAGAGTCGAGTGAGAGAGTCAAGAGGCCCTGCAGCCAGCAATATTCAAGCTTTGTCACAGATGGGTAAGGGTCTTCAACAAGTACAGTGAGTGAGTATGGTTTTACGCCGCTTTTAGCAATATTCCAGCAATATCACGGCGGGGGACACCAGAAATGGGCTTCACACATTGTACCCATGTCGGGAATCGAACCCGGGTCTTCGGCGTGACGAGCGAACGTTTTAACCACTAGGCTACCCGACCGCCCCCAACAAGTACAGACAAAAGGGAGGATTTGACCTTCAAATAGTCAACTTTCCCTTCATATCAGGCAATATTCCGGCAGCTCCAGCCCTTGGTCGTCTACATTTCACAACGTTCCAGGTACAATCGAGCATGCACTTTAAACCAAGATTTCAAAGAGAGTCATACAACTCTAGGTCAGAAGTTGTTTGACCACGGCTCAAACATTCAAGGCCTCAGTAAAGCTTTGAAAAGCT